GTGGTTGAATGAAAATAATTTTTAATGATCCATCCAACATGAGCCATTAATTTATATCTTTTACCATTAGCAAACATACAATAACTTCTAACCTTACTCTTCAACATTACAAATATCACATTTTCCAAACTCGCCAATATGGACACAAATTCATATGAAGTCGTAAATGACATAAAATCAACATAAACATATAGACATAGACAGTTGGACATTAACACCGTTGGATGCCGGCTCAGTGGTCTAGTGGTTAAGCACTTGCACGCGAGAATGATAGATACTGTGTTGGAATATCGCAATGTGATTTCGTGAATGAGCACTGCTGAGGAGTCCCACAATAGGACGAAACGGTCATCCAGTGTTCGTGTTCGTGAGCTTCATTCCGGCCACTAACTCCTATCTCAGGCACTCCGTGAACCATAATGCTGATTGGTTTTTGGGTGTTCACTGATCTTTTAGGGGTATCCTTTTTAGTCTACAGTTTGCCGTATCTAATTCGGACTTAAGAGAATCGCTTAACCAACGGTTTGCGGGATCTCAGTAAAGTTTCTTCTGTAATGTGTACTGAATCTGAATTTACCCTTAGCGAAGAGAACTTATCAGGGAGTTTTGTCCAACACATTTTTCTCTCATTTTTGGGGTTTTGGGTGTTATTCTTTGGTCGTTTCTCCTCCCAACGCCCATCCACTGCTTTTTACTGTTGACAGATACTGGGGTATTAGCGACAATTGGTGATCTCATAGATATTTGATCTAAGGTTGCTGATCTTGTAGTTGCGTGTCTGAATGAGCCTGTGTTTGGAGATTTGTATTCGCTTGTGGGGTTTGATACAGTTGGTTCCAATAGGGTCTTATGCTTTTCCTTTGGTGTAATTTTTAATACATTGTGGACAAACGTACCAGAACCACGAACAGGGGCGATCTGATGTAAAGCCATAGAATTCCCTAGGTACTTCAATTTCACAGTGGTGGTGAACCCAGCCAACACCAAAATTACATTTAGATGTCGAGCATGAGACACAATGATCATTTTCATACTGTTTCTCTCCAGTAGCTAGCAAAGCAGGCTCTTTTCTCCCATTTCGCTTTCGCCTACTAGTATCATTAGAAGTAGGGATCCGTGTAGGCGTATGATTCTGAGTATCTTGTAGGAAATTAAATGTTGGTGTTTGAGTTGAGTGGTCCGTGTTGTACACATTGCCCTGCGGTTCTTTATCTGGTTTCTACCTAAGGCTTCTCATAATCCTGTTGTTGAAAACGGGAATTTCGGAGTTTTTATTAACTTCTGAACTTAGATTTCCACCTCTGTTGATCATTCTCGTAGTTGTAGTGTAGGTTCTGGTGGCAGCATTAATACCGTGCATGCTACCCAATAGACTAAAAAGTAAAATGTAAGACGATCTAAGGAGAAAGTACACAAGGTGAAAGTTTCGGAGGAGAGCAATAACAGAGACAAATGAATATATGCCACACGAGAATAAAACCTGAATGACGCTGAAAATTGACCGTCTTACCGAGAAAATTCGCGCGGATCCAGTAATTTATCCACAATTCATGCTTTTGCAAGAAAATCGATGTGTGTGTATGTTGAAGTTGAAGTGATTAACAAGATAGCAGTTGATCGAGACATCTAGAACTACCACACAGTGGTTCAACTATGTTGTGATGGTGGTATATGAGTAAGGTGAAGACGCAGCTAGTATCCTTGGAAATGTTTAAATGTTCTAATATGGTAGTGGGAAAATGTATATTTTCAGTTGAATGCCAAAGGTCGATGGAGTCGGGTCAGACACTAAGAGGCTCGTCTGTAAATCAGATACAAGTGATCTTCCTTTCAACACTCTCCATACCTTACATCTCGCATTCAGAAGACTGGAGTACTACTAACTGCAATGTTTAAAGGAACAAACAAACAAATTGTACAGTAAAGAAACCGTTTATATATTTCTAGGCATTAGTATGTAAAGTTGGCCGAGTTTGAAATTCAAACCAGAATCCAAACTAGCTACATTAGAAATCCAAGATACAAATTAAGATTGCCACCCTTAAAGTTTCAGAAAAATATGAAATACTCATTGTAAAAATTAAAATGCGGATTTCCAGAAACACCTTGAACTGTAACAAAACAATAGAATGACCTAAACCGAACTCAGGAGGAGATAGCATACACATACGGAGATAACGAAAATCTAGAATAGTCAAACAATTAGACCAAAACATACTGTAAAAAGTTATGGAGGAAACAAGAATAGATCTAGTCGAACTCTCCACACCTAAATATATGCACTTAGCAACGAACGCTAACAAGTAGAAATAAACTAGGTAATCAAATGAGATCGTAAAAATAATGAGATCAAATGACCACCTTGGATCTTTGACGAACCACTGAAAGAGAACAGTCTTTTCTCATTGACCACATCAAATGGATTAGAATCAGGATAATTATTAACTGTCGATATTACCATTACGCAGGACTAAGCCTGCAGTATATATATCACTTGGAGTACAGACGTTTTGGTTAGTAACACTCGTAATTGTGGTGGACCAAAAATATGTCAATTCGAAAAAATAATGACAAATGCTGAGATCATGAGTCAATTGAAGCTAGACCACCATGGAAAACCTCGAAGCACTGAACGGTCGTTTCGTCCTATTGTGGGACTCCTCAGTAGTGCTCACTCACGACCCCTCCACGCAGGATTCGAACCCAGGACCTACTGATCTCGCGCGCGAGCACTCAGGGTCTCGACAATTGAAATTACTAAAATCTACATAAAACCCCTTCTGATACTAATCAACATATGCTCACTAGTGACTGCCTTTAAATGTATATCCTGGAGTTCTAGTGAGAAACAGTGACCAGTGGATTTCAACCAGATCAGTCGTGTGATAATAACTCTCTGATGCACTGGTGGATGTGTCGCACAATTTCGTGGATTAGTTGAAGTTAGACATCAATACCGTTGGATGCCGGCTCAGTGGTCTGGTGGTTAAGTTCTCGTGTGTGAGACTGATAGATCCCGGGTTTGAATCCTAAAAGGTAAGTTCATAGATGTGCACTGCCAAGGAGGAGTCCCACAATAGGATGAAACGGTCGTCCAGTGCTTGCATTAGTCTAGCTTCAAATGACTCATGATTTCAACTATTAAAAGTAAAAATTATGTTTTAGTTTGCTCTAAGAACAATTACACTGGGTGAAATTGTAAACAATAGTTTAATCAAGAATTAATTAGGTAAAATGATAGATTTTCCATGATAGATATATTTCATTAGTTACTATCATCACAACGAATTTGAATTTGATAAAATTTGAGAATTTTTTAGATTATATAAAATGTAACTAGGCGCATAATTCCATATGATTACGTGTAAGTTTAATATCTAACATCAGGTACTCTCTCCCCCTCCCCTGATATTTATATATATTGAGGGGGTGGGAGAAGTATTTGTAACTATTCTCATTGAACAATAAATTGAAGAAAAAAAATTTGGGAAAAATAAATGAATCAGTAAATTGAACCAATCAGAAAGGAGATTAAAATCATGATCATCATTAATCAACTTGTTGAAAGTAAATATTAGTAACCTTAACAACAAACCGAGTATATTTACAAATAAAGATCTATTACTTTCATTAATATTCCTAGTGATTTGTATAGTTAAATTGAAATGAATTTTTTTGATGGAGTTTTGTTCTCTGATGAAACCATCCAGCTCAGAGAACAAAACTCCATCAAAATCATCCACCTGAGCTACAAATCTCCACCATCTTGAAATGAATTCTTATCAAATTATCCTTTTATTATTATTATTATTATTATTATTATTCTATACTGATTGTTTCAATTGTATAACTGATGAACTTCAATACTCCACTTTCATTATTATCATCAGTCAAAGAATCAATTCATGAAATGAATTGGATTAGAAAAGACAAAACTACTCAATTCTTTAAACATACTTCATGGAAAGTATCAAATTTATCACAGTTGAATATCATTACAAAAGAATCCACTAATAATGAACTATACGATAATAATAATAATAATAATAATAATAATAATAATAATAATACTTTAATTACTATATTGAATCATGAATTGATTTGTTGAAATCTTTCAAAAGAACTATTCAATAAAGATCTAGGAAGATTTACAAAATTTCTAAATGATAAGTATTTGAATGATTCTAGTATTGATCAACAGGAATTCATTAGATGTATTATTCAATGATGCTTCCTTAAAAATAATCAATATATTAGACGATATCATTATAATCAATGGTATAATTCAAATAGGAAGATATGTTTTTGATTGAGATCACGAATCGATTGATGTTAGACCACCATTGAAAATCTGGAAGCACTGGAAAACCGTTTCGTCCTATTGTAGGACTCCTCCTTGGTAGTGCGCACCTACGATCTCGTCTCACGACATTCGAACCTAAGACCTATCAGTCTCGCGTGTGAACACTTCACCTCTAGATCACTGAGCCGGTATCTGACGGTGTTAATGTTTAATTTCAACTACCGTCCATGATTATCTCATGAATTCAACTATAAAACTACGAAAATCTCCACAAAATCCCTTCTGATAATAATAATAATGTGATATATTAAAAACATTGTGTTCATTCTTCATGAGTCCATGATTGTATTTTTGGTTGAAAGTTTACAATAAACAATTTCAATGTTGTTATATCTTGTGGCCTTGTGCCCTATTATTATATATAACGTAATGACAACGCCAATTACAGAACAGTGACTTATCGACTGGATCAATGACACATAAAAGTCGTACTAGCAGTCTAGAGTCTTTGCGGTCCCTCTTTCAGACTAACCCTGCTTGTTTGTTAAGTACAGAACACCAATCTCAGCCTCCGCGATATAAATCATGTGTTTCAAACAAACTGGGTTGGTCGTGGACGTCCTATGCTCCTTCATGAAGAGTAACAGGCGTAAGTAAATAAACATTCTTATCAAAACTAATTGTATTAAGTTTTATAGTTTCAAATAGATTAGTCAATAATTTGAAAAAGAACTAAGTTCGACATAAGAGTTGTTTAGGATGCTTTAAACAAAACCTTATGAATATCTACATAGAAAGTGAAAAACTATATCATTATGACAGTTTGTAACAAGAGAATAACAGGTATACTCAAAAGATATTTGTTATTCATTAGGATTGTAAGTTATCTAGTTGAAACAAGAGGAAATGAATGTAAGTAAATATAATAATAATACATTTGGTATTGTTTGCTTGTATCTTCCATTATTGCTTAGGACTGCAATTGATCAGTCTCTCTCTTATTGGCGAATATGAATCGTCTGAGGACTGCCGCAATATTGCATCAAGCCACAAACTTTATAAACAAAGATGGATAGTAGCTAGCAGTGGAATCCAGGACACGCGTTTCGTCCTATTTAAGACTCGTCAGATGGATGGACCTGCATCTCGGAGTTGGTGTTCACTCCAGGACTCGAACTCGGTATCTTTCGCATCAAACGTCATCGTGTTGTCCACTCAGCTACTGAGTCTTGATAGCCACTTGCTCGTGCAATGCGGTGAAGTTTCATTCTCTTGTTATTGTTTGCTTGTATCTTCCCATTGTTTTTTAGGTGTGCAACTGATCTGTGAACATTAACTCTGAGATGCAGGTACATCCAGCTGACAAGTCTTAAATAAGACGAAACGTGTGTCCTGAATTTCACTGCTAGCCACTATATATCATTCCTTGATAATAGCAATAATAATAATAATAGGTGAATCGCATTTTTTGTACATATTCTAAGGTGTTGTTTGAGCTTCCCTTTTCAGTTTTACTTGTATATTCAAGTGTTATTATATTATATTATGTTTTACAATATTAGAAACTGATCATCTAATTCCATGTATTTATCATTTTCATAATGAACTAGGTAGTTTCAATCTACACTTTGAATAAAATAATTATCCACCTCAAGGAATCGATGAAAGATCACCACTCAGACTCACCCCAGTTAACATCCAGCGGTCAGTTTTGAGAACACGACCCTTTGACTTACAGTTTACATTTCCCATTTATATACGAGATATACATATGAAACATTCGTCCTTCAGAAGAAAACTAGTAACTCAATTTCACACTACACAAATCAATTGTCGGTCGTCTGTGGATTCATTTGACAATACGTCGTAGACGAATTTGAAATTTCCCTCAATTGATATTCTTATGAATAGAATGTCCATTAGTTTCGTAAAAGTTCGTTGGAAATCTCACTAGTAAAGTTTGAATAAACATTTCGAAATCATGCATAATCACAGACGTTTGAACTCAGAAGCAGTACAATTTAATGATTCACATACTTTATCTGTCCAAACAATTCAACAATTTGAACTGAACTCTCAACGATAAAGCACTACGTCATAACTCTCATTCTATCATCACCATATAACACTCAATGTTTCATGCTCATTGAACTAGTAGTCAATACTATCTTACAATGTTTTCTCGTCTCTGTTGTTGTCTTTTAGTGTCGTGTTCATATCTCCAACTTCTTCTTTATCATTCTCAAGTTCACCGATCATCTATTTCATACACATCACTTGATCTTATTGATTATGTTTGATTTTCATGTGATGATGACGGTGGTGGTGGTGGTGGTGGCAATTTCAATCCGTCAATGATATATGAAATCAATGAATACTTTATCAATCTGATCACTTACTATTTCTTATCAGATCCAATATATCTATGAAATGGATCCAATATCAGTGAATGATTTAATTGAAATGAAATATTGTCAAACGAATTGTTTTTATTTGCCGCTTATCAACAACATCGTCAATTTTTCTCATAATTCAGGGTTAGATTATGATAGTGCTTTATTGTAATCACTGTTTGTGGATAAGCATTGGCTTACAGGTATACTTTTTGTATATGAATTTATAATGAAAGTTAGATAATGACTAGTAGTGGAATTTAGAACGCGTGTTTCGTCCCAGCTGGGACTCGTCAGATGGATGTATCTGCATCTCAGGGTTGATGTTCACTCTGGGATTCGTACCCAGTATAATTCATTTCAATCGCCATCGCGTTATCCACTCAACTATTGAGCCTTCATGGTTACTTGCATGTGTAATAGAGTAGAGTTTAATTCACTTATTATTGTTTGCTTGTATCTTCCTATTGTTTTTTTAGGAGTGCAGTTGATCAATGAACATCAACTCTGGAATAGGGGTACATCCATCTAACGACTCTCAAATCAGGCGAAGTGTGTGTCCTAGATTCCACTGCTAGCCATTATCCATCTTTGCTTAGAATGCTTGTGAATTATGGGAATATCGAGACGATACGCACAGGATACACATATGCTAATAAGAGAGAGACTGATCAATTTCAGTTCTAAACAACAATCGGGAGATTCAAGTAAAACAACACCAAGTTAATTTGGATTTATAATGACTTGACATAAACCTATTTCAAATAAATTATGATCTGGATAATTTATTTATGCATAAAATTTTGTATGGGTTTGTTTCTATGATAAGTTTTCTCCTCAATGAATTTTTGACAATTGCACAAAATATACCGTTATTTTCATTACTTCAATAGACTTTGAAATCAATATAAGTAATTACGTAATCTAAATTCACTTGGTATTGTTTGGCTTGTATCTTCCCATTGATGTTTAGGATTGCATTTGATCAGTCTGTTATTGGTATATGTGCATACTGTGCGTATTGCCTCGGTATCACATTAATTCACAAGCATTCTAAGCAAACATGGCTAGTGGTTAGCACTGGAATGCAGGAGGCGCGTTTCCTCCTATTTGGCACTGGTCAACTGTATGTGCCCGCATCTCACAGTTGATGTCCACTGTTTGGCACTCCAACCCAGTACCGTTCGCTTCAAATGCCATCGCGTTATCCACTTAGCTACTGAGTCTTCCCAGTCACTTGTTTGTGCAATCGGGTGAAGTCGAAATTCACTTGGCATTGTTCACTTGAATCTTCCCATTAATATTTAGGATTGCATACTGTGTGTATTGCCTTGATATAGCCTTAATTCAGAAGCATTCTAAGCAAAGATGGATAGTGGCTAATATTGGAATCCAGGCCTTATCTTTATTGAGTTTATCAAAACTATTTAACTAGTTAGTGCTGAACTGTAAAATGAGACCAGCATTAACATTTTACCCAGAAAAATAGCATTGACCAACCATTAAGAGTAGATGATTCCTATTGTGTGATACTTAATGTGTTACTGATTTCAATAGTGTTCTAGGTTAAACCTGTTTCTAACTAGGTACGGTAGATTTTCAATATTATTGATTGTTAATATCTCTTCATCACTTAATCATTGTTTTTGTGGATATTCTAGTAATTTTTAATAGTTGAGATCACCATAAAAAACCTGAAAGCATTGAACAGCCGTTTCGTCCTATTACGGAACTCGTCAACAGTGCACATCCACGATCCCACTTCACAAGATTCGAACCAGGGACTTATCAATCTCGTGCAAGAACGCTTAACTTCTATATATGTTGATAAAAGTATTTACTAACATATGTTCCTCTTACTGCATTTAGATAATAGAATTTCGAATACATCTTAGATCCTATGACTTTGAATGCAAAAATGATTACGTCAATGATTCGGAGTTTTCATTTTATTTATTTGACCATAAAACGCAAACGTCAATAGTTATATTATTCTTTTAAGTTGACAATTGATAACCTTCTTCTTCTCCTCATCGAATTATCAAGATTACTTTTCAGTCAAAACTATATATTCTCAATAAGCAAAGATGGATAACAGTGGAATCCAGGACGTGCACTTCATCTTATTTAGGACTCATCAGATGGATGTACGTGCATCTGAGAGTTGATGTTCACTCTGAAACTCCAACCCAGTACCATTCGTTTCAAACGTCAACGCGTTATCCAATTAGCTACGGAGTTCTCATAGACACTTTGCTTGTGCAATGGGATGACGTTTCAAATTCACTTGGTGTTGTTTACTTGAATCTTCCTATTAATGTTTAGGATTGCATTTGATCAGTCTGTTATTGGCATATGTGCATCGTGTGCCGACTGCCTCGATATTGCCTTAGGTCGTAAGCCTTACCAGGA